TGTAATCATTTCAGTTAACAAAGCTGCCATTGTTAGTGCTCCCGTTTTCTGTCCACATAACCAGTCTTCGGGTTATAGTAGAGCATTACCAAGGTTGATAATTGTGGAAAATCGGATTAGTTATGCAATCATGGGATTTAATAATAATAATAATAAGGCATTTTTATTTATGACACGGTTTGCGGATCGCACATGATTGTCTCCTGTCAAACAGTTTGGTTTTTGATGACATTTCCGAAGTTCTTCCGATGGTGTTGAGAGTTTAGGAGCTCTGCCTCTTCGTTTCACTCAGAAAGTGCTGATGATTGCACAGTGAACTAATCAGATCAAGCTCTTCTGAGAGCTATCTACGTTTCGATTAAACTTAGCATACTTTTCAACCATTCCGGTTAATTATAAAGTGGTTCTCTTCGCTCAAATCCTCGGAGAAATTTAGGCAGTTAAATACGAGTATGAGTTCTACACATCCCGCAGCTACCCACAACTTGTTAAACATGCGCTTGCGCAATAATCAGTTTTCATTGGCCTGTGATTCACTGAGTAGTGCGTTGCACCGATTATTTCATTTCGTTCTTGACTTGTTGATTTTACTCCCGGGACCGGGTTGAATTCGTTCGCTTTTTGAATTTGAGTTTGAATGCTTTAAAAGCGGTGAGGAATCAACTGATTTTCTCTCACGCATATACATGTTAGACAGCCAGTTGGAAGAAGCCGGGCCATCAAACAGACATGTTTTGCGATAGATGAATCTAAAAACATTGCGACTGTGACCTCATACACCGTCTCAAGCTGCACCAGCTTGCTTGTGGCTTTCTGGATGTCAGAGCATGCAAAAAAACCCCTACCTTTTGTCAGGTGTTGCTTTTGGTAGGAATCAAATATATTATTTTGCCGACCTCTGCGTCATTTGTGGTAAGGGAGACTAATACCATGAAAGACGATCGAATGGTTGTTGTCGAAAATGTAGATGACGGAAGAGAATTATTTCTAAAACATCGCTCAAAGCATTTTTACCTACGAGACATAACAATTTCTTAAAGTTCAAGAATTTGTAGTGACTGAAGCTCTTGACAGCCTACAGGAGAGCCCATGAGAACTTGAGCAACCTGCTAGTAAATCGGCCCTACGGTCACATAAGTTAGAGGCACCGAAAACCCCTTAGCCTACAGAGTTGGTGCAGTCTTCTATGACTGATTGTTAGCATTTAGTGGTTCTGCCTCAGACGTATATTGCAGTGCAAAGTCCCAACTTTTCCACCATTAGGATGGTTAAGCTATATTACGGGCATTTAACAGTAAACTGTATTTCCCGATGAGGAAATGAGAGACAGATGAAAATGATACAGAACAGGGACAACGGAACTATTCACTCGATCTATCACGCTGAATAAACTTCTGAATCAGACGACAAACCCCAAAAACTATGAACAGCATTGGTAGGGCTGCTAGTCCCAAACCAACTGAGTATACTATCATCATTCCAGACAAAGACCAATTCTGAGACAGATGGGCCGTAACTGTCCACAGGATGTAGTTGAATACACTGAACTGCTCTTTCCTCATGTATGCGTTTGCTCCACCATCTTCTGATTCAGACCAGAAGAAGGGATCATTGAGTTTTCGATCATCACCCGCTGTCCAACCGATACCCCACTAAAACGAAACGGTTCAAAATATGTTAGAAAGATTATGAAAGACTGCTTCTATTCAAAGATATAGGAACTAAAAAAAATCGCAAAAAACTTTGTAAAATTGATGCTTGATAGTGTTGTTAGACTTACAGATGCATGTCTCATTGCATTTGGCCTACACAACCTGTTACATTGCCTCATTGGCTTAATGTATGAGACATTCAAATTTTCAATGATGAAAAACCCGTTGTTTGATGACTCCAACCTCAGCCCATACAGTGGTGATAAGCCAAGCGAAGGGAAAAAAAGTCGCTCACCGCTTCATTGATTGTGGGTGGCCAAAGTTTCATCGAAAAAGCGAAGTGTGCAGACAGCACAGCCCCTGCTGACATACCAAGTCCGTCTAGACTAGGTACTAGTTAACCAACAAAAGGGCAACGGAAACTTTGACCCATGAGAATTAAGCGAGATTTCGACCAACTGGAGACTGAACTGACCAGCTCTTCATGCTCCACTAGGTGTTAGAGCAAAACCATATGTACAGAAAACCGAAATTTTCAGTGTATTAGCTCTGATAGAAGTGTGCTTGATGAATTCAGTGCACGTTTGCTATTTGGTGTCGCTTGTGACTTCAGAACAGCATATCACTGGGTCTAAAG